AGCATTGTGTATAGTTCAGTCATGTTTAATCAGAGCACTCACTGAGGGTGGTCCTGTTCCACATGCTCGACTCTCAGATGGGGAATATCCAAGAGTTTCTTGAGTTTGTTGTCCAAATGGAAAACCCAAATTTGCTGGTACAACCAAGTTCAATGCCACATTTGAGTGTGGGCAATGCTCTTTTTTCTTGGCTTACTGTAAACGGGCCTTGACGTTCTTGACTCTAAAGTATTTACTGCATTAAATATTAGTACACAGCACACACACACACACATCGTGTTGAATTTTTGGACTGTGGCTGAGCCATTCGTGTCGTTGTTGTTGGAGCGTAATATGTGTGTTTTTTCTTTTTTGTAAGATGTCCAGTTTATGCAGGGCTGGGATGTTCGACTTAGGCGAAGCATACCCCCGAAGCATACCCTCTGAACACGCTACATTTTTAGCCTTCACACTGTGCGAAGCATACCCCGAAGCATACCTCCGAAGCATACCCCATAGTCCCATATGTTTTGACATACCTCTCCGACTTATCAAATCTTCCTTGATGAATTCTACAAAATTTGCACCGAACAGGTACCGCAGCCGCTGCCAGGCACCGGGTGTGTGTGTGTGTAAATATGCGTATATATAACTATATATATATACATATTATGTCATAAGCTTGAAAAGTCGCATCCACTTGAAATGCAAGAAAGCCAAGCAGATTGGTACCTTGCTTCTGTAGTCATCCACGTAGGTATGCACGATCCACGCCTGATGCAACAGCCGCGGGCCTCAGCGAACTGGAAACTCACTTGTTTTGGCAAATGTTGAAATGAGCTCAATGGCCCTGGGATGAACGACAGACTTCCTGCGTGCTAGCTGATCCAAGTCGTTGTGATGCTAACTTGAGAGTACTGTACTTTGTTGACAGCCACGAGTGTTTCCATAGAGGGATGAGGAGTCTTCGCATGTCAATTTCACGTGGAACTGTACCCAAAGGACCCCAAAGGACCCTAGAGATCAGCGGTGGCGGCTTGTACCAGCCTGAAGGCGAGTGGCGAGCTTTCATCAACAGCATCAAGCTCACCAAGCGCAGCAAGTGCTGAATCATACGCGATAATCTGAATCTGCAAATTGCTCGGCAGGGGCAAGTTCCAGCAAAAGTTTCACGAAGCAAATGATTCTGATATTCCCGTGATTGGTGAATCGATCCATAATTCCACAAAATAGTAGTTTCTGACAATCATAATTTATTGATTTGGTTTCCTTATTCACGGACAAAGAAATTGCAAAGGAATCTTGAATAGGATGCTTTACATATATCCAGACAATAGAAATTCAAAAAGAATACAAAATATAAATATATACAAATAATACATATATAATTTACTTAAATATATATAATATATAGTTAATTTGCATATTGAAATTATATATATATATTTATTAATATTATGAATTATGAAATAATTTATTGTTGTGATTTTAAAATAAATATATAGATTGATATATATCTTTGTATAAAATTTTATATTTAATATAATATAATATGTATTTGTATATAATATATATATATTTATAAATTATATATAATATTTATTATATTTAATAATATTTAAATATAATATTTTATATATAAAAATGAATTATTTATATTCGAAATTGAATAAATAAATAAATATATAATGATAATATAATTATACATCGAAATATATATTTATTTTTAATTGTATATATATTACAATTAAAATATTATATATATGAAGATTTATATATATTATATAATATTGATTTTATTATTATTTAATTTATATTCAAAAAAAATGGCAGAATATTATTGTATTATTCTGGAAATAGCTTTGCCATTATTGTAAAAAATATAATCTAAAAGGCGGTGAGCTAGCATTTTACCTTGAGGACCCCC